GTTCTCAACTTTGTGGAAATAGGAGAAAAAAAAAAAAAGAGAGAAAAATAAAAGAAAGGAAAAAAAAAAGAATGAAAGAAAAAAACAACAGGCAGATACCGTTCGCATGCTCTCGTTCAAAATCCAAAAAGAGACACGCGCGAGTGACGTTTCGATCAGCCGAGTGACTTTCGATCAAAAAACAGCCAACGATTGACTCGCTCTCCCCTCTTTTTCTTTCTCTCTCTTCAATAGCGGATTTAGCGGTAGTCAGATTTGGCGGCTGTCAGGGGCTCCGAGCTTCAAAAGGTTATCGATTGAAACAAATTTTTCATAGATATAATTTTTTATAGATATAATATTGAAATTTTTTAAATATTCCACGATTTAGATTTACCAGATCTCTCCAAAAAAATTATATAAAGAAATTTAAAAGAATTTCTATAAATATAAAATATTTATAAATATTATGCATTTTAATAATGAATTAAAAGAATTCTTGCTATTTTTTAAAAAAAATATAATATAGTGGCAGAAGCATACAAAATTGCTTAAAAAATGTTTTGAATGTATGTTTGAATATTTTTAAGCCAAAAGAAAAGTTGTACAATATAATAAATAAAAATGTCTATGAATTATTAAATAATAATTCATATCTAAAATAATCCATAAATTATTTGCTGTAAATAACTGAAAACTACAAAAATATTGTAATGCATAAAATTATTAATTTAGAAAATATTTAAATTTTGTTAAAACTGTATAGATAAGGAACAAAATGATATTTTTCTTTTCATGTTTTGTTTTTTCTTCTTGTATATAACAAACTTGATAAAATTCAAATTAAAATATTTTTTAAATTAAAAATTAATAATAAATTTTTTTTTCTAAAGAAGAAACTTTGCATCAATATGTGACAAAAAATATTTCATTTAAAAATATAAAGTTGAAAAAAAATTGATAATATTAAGTAATTCAATAAAATAATAATTCAATAGAATCAATAATATCTTATAACTTTTATATGAAAAAGCAAATAAATTTATAGGTTATTTTAATGATTATTCTTAATCTCGTAAAAATTACTTTAAATATCCCATTCCCATTTAGAATTTATCAACAGAAAAATCTTTTTTTGTTTTAAAAAATTTGTAATAAACTGTTTAAAAAAGTATGAGATCGAAAAAAAATTAAATAATATAACAATATTATATAAAGTATGTTCGTATCGTTTTTTTTTTAATCTATTGTTTTCTTTATATATATGTATATATATGTATGTGTATGTGTGTTATTTTATAAATATCTTTATTATAATTACAAATATTATTTCACACTATATATTTAACAAAAGAGATAAATCTCATTGTGTTCTATATTTTGTGTTCTTTTTAGAAACCCCGAAGAAAATTATACCACCAAGGGTTCCTACTTCGCTAAATCCACTACTGCCCCTCTCTCTCTCTCTCCCTCTCTCTCTCTCTTGCTATACTCTTGCTCGAAAGAATTGCTTTTCGGCTGAAAATTACCGAAACGTTTACCCACCTGTGCCAAACAAGAACCATATATGTATTTATTCTATATATGAGGTTAGTATAAAATGTTGCAAAAACATCGTCAGGCAACAACATCGAAAAATATATTCGGAAAGAGACGAAGAGAGAAAAAAAAAAAAAAAAAAAAAGAAAGAGAAGTGAAGGAAGAAAAGGAGAAAAAAAAAAATAACAAATGAGTGGAAAGATAGAATGAATTAGAGCAAAAAAGATAGATATAGAGAAAGAGAGAGAACGGAGACGAGAACAAAAGGAAGTGAAATGGAAAGAAAAGAGGTGAATCGGTAAAAGTAAAGAAAAAAGATATGCTCTGTCTATCAACGACTCGACAATAGCTAGGTATACTAGGAGATGCATACTGAATACCATTCAGCATTTTCTCGCACTAGTTGTGGTTTCAACCAGTGGTAAAATAGCAACGATCATCGTATCGCAACTTGGCAGAAGCTTGTTTCGACCGAATCGATATCTTTTGAATTATTTCGTTCATTCTCTCAATGATTCAGGTCTTTTACAACATTTTACATTTGATGAAAAAATTAATTTAATATTGCTTCTGCGAAGGCGCGTTTTAACGAGATACTATGTAGAAATGTATCTCTATTGTCTCAGCTAATTCAGATTAGCCTGATTAAGCGAAAGTTGCAATAAAATTTTAACACTGGATCGAATCCTGTGTGTAAACCATTTGCGTTCCGAAAATCATTTCGACGATCGTTGCTCGATCGAGTTTCGTGCAAGTTTCCGATAATTATGAATAAATGGAAGAAAGAACGCAGAGGGTTCACTTTCGTTAAATACCAATGATTTATATTGCAATTCGATACGGTTGTTTCGTACAGTAAAAATTCGTAGAACAATCGCTTGACATTTTCTTACCTCTTGGTAAAGTGTTACTGCCGATATCGAACACTGTTTCCCTCGAAGGAACATGTGATCCTGGGCTATTTGGAGTTCCCGGGTTTGATGAGTTTACAGAATCTTTTCTCGAGAATATATCACCTTCCCGACTGAGCGAATGCCTGAATTGAGACTCCGACAGTCGCCTAAATTCATAACAGATAAAAAACATTCGTGTGATTTTTTTGTAATTTCGTAAAAAATCAAAAATATTATCATTTAGCTTTCATCATTTTAAGCTTTTGTAAAGTTCTAATGCATTGGGTTATTGCGCGTTACGATAAGCGCCATTATTTTCTAAAATTTTATTTTTACATTACAAAGATTGTTACAGAGTTGAGCAAATTTTATTCGAATAACGAATAATGAATAAATCATTCGAAACTTATATATGAAGAGCAAAAAAGATTAATCGAGTAGCTGAATACATGATAAGAAAATCAGAGAAATAAGAAAAAATAAATGAAAGTGAAATAAATTGATATAAATTTGACAAAATTGAAAGAAATTGATAAGAAGTAGTAAAGTAAAAATAAAAATAAGAGTTAGGTACAAAATATAATATAAAACATCTGTAAAAGAACAAAAAAAGAGAAAATAAAGTTAAACAAGACAAAAAAGACAAAATATTTGAAAATTACGTGAATAGAAATGAAAAGAAAAAATATTAAGAAAAATAATTAAAGAAATAAAAGAAACGATGGAAAGTATAATAAAGAATTTTTTTGAAAAACTCGAAGAACTAGATGTAGGATTATAAAAATTATAAAAAGAATAATTTTTCAAATTTATTCGTAAATAATGAATAATGATTTTATCTAAAAAAAAATTATTTATTATTATTAAATCTATAATATTATTCGAAAGAAATTCATTTCAATACATTATTCATTATTCAAAAGAGCTAAATGACAATAAATGCGACATTGTATAGTATACATGACGTGTCTTATGTCTGTATAAATAAGAGTCTAACAATGAGAAGTACTTTTTGTGACAAGAAAGAAAAAGAAAGACTATAATAAATATAATACATATGATTAACTAATTCATCAGGAAAATGTTACGAATATATTAATATAATTTTTATTTATATATATTATTAAAATAATTTTTCATTGATTATAGTTCATTACGTTATCGTTATAAATTCTCGCAAGATTAAAAACTATTGCTTTTGATTTCAATTAAGATAATGCTTAGCAATCTTATATTATATTACATTTATATTATATTCGTTATATTTTATTCGAATAAGAAACTATTTATTATTCGTAAATAGTAATTTCTAAAACTTAATTGAATCTAACCTAAAAATTTATTTGAACAATGTCCAACTGATGTCGAATATACACGAGAGGGCATAAATGAAAGAAATCGTAACAAATGTATGCTGCTCTCCAAAGTATAAAACTATCATTTATAAAAAATATTTTTTCTTTATAATGTTTGTTTTTTCTATGTGCGTATTACGTGTATACAAGGAAAAAGAGATTTATATAAACCGATTCGAGATATATTACTCGTGATATATTTTGCACTACCTTCTAAAATAATCAGCATAGACTACATTGTTCTAAAGTTGTTGTTAACAATTGGACTCACGTAGTCACGGTCCTCGTTTCGACATATGTCTGGTAGCTTGCACAAACAAGCGTTAAATCGTTGTCATTAGCTATTGAAAGTTCATACGAGCAGTAAGCTAGCTAAAAAGATATTCGAAAAAAGCGAATCGCGGATGCTTTGAAAAAAGAAGCAATATTGAATGCTTAAGAAAAAGCAATGGGTAACAAATGAACAAATTGTAAACAATATAAATGAATATTACCTTGATAATGGTTTATTTAGACCCCAGAAAGCTTGCGAAGAATTAGATCCTAGTCTTCCGAACAATCGGGAACTCGGAAAACCAGTAGTACGGTTATCGTCAACATTCAATCTTTGCGTCAAACTTCGCACTCTGGACAATAGAGTGGAAAATAAATTTTCGGCAGTTAATAATTCGAATCCATCATCGTCGTCATCTTCGCCAGAAGATAAACTGTCTGCGTGTTCTGATGGTTGTCTTGTAGGTCGAGAGCTTCTCAACCGATGCATATGTCGTTGTAAGAGATCCTCACTGTCCCTGAAAGATAAAAATAAAAGATAAACTTATTTCCATCAATCGCATATTTGATCATAGTTTTTGATCTTCATCTTGACTAAGAAATAATTTCAAATGTTCATATATTTATTTATAATAAATTTATTTTATAAAAGTATGCTACGTTCATAAAATATTCTAATCATCTGAGCTCAAGAACCAAGTATTATATATTATATTATATTAATTATGACAGTGATACGTTAATTACTCATATTATATAGATTTAAAGAAAATATAAATACAATTATTCTGAAAAAATATTTTCTATATTTTTGAAACAAATGAATGAACATATATATTAGTGAATAGTCCATTAAATTTAATTAAATTTTTAACTATAAGATAATATCATTTAAAAGTGAATGAAAAATTAATATATATATTAATATTCTCGACAATTGTTTTACAAAAATATAAAAAATATAATAGTATCACTATTATAGTTTTATAATATTTATAATACAGAATTTAAATGATTTGAAACAATTACAAAACTAAATATATGATTACAACAAATTAATCTATTTCTGCAGAAATGAAATTGATATTACTTTCTTACCAATATATCAGAAAAGAAAAATACGAAATTTTTAGTTACCTGTGTAACGAAGAGAACGGTGATTCGTCCTCACTGGCATCCGAGAGAAGAGAACTCATTCTTCGAGGTCTGCCAAATCTTGATCGGGGAACGTTTGTGCTGGTAGATGAACTACCAGTTTTGGTTTCAGGTTCAACGCTACCAGACCTGGGGGTAACATATCCACCGCCTTCTACGGCAATGGGAATAATGTACTCTCGAGGACTCTTTCGGATTGGCTCAGGTCCAACGGTAGATCCGAGAGCGCTATCAGTATCCGAGTCTGCGGTCGATTGACGAGATAACGAACCAGATCGCTGTGAAACTGATCGTTGAGGCATCGGTGGTAATTTCGAGGGTGGTGAGGTTGATGATTGTGGCGACTGTTGATTATCCGCTTCCATCTAAAATAAATGCAAATTTTTTATTCAAAAGAAAAAAACAATTAAATAATTAAAATACATTATAATTGCAATTCTTATAATACATATATAAAATTCGATTTGATATACCTGGATTGGAATTATTCTTTCTTTCGGCGCAATGTTCCTTGGTCTGGTTTCGGGTTCCAAACTCGAACTTCTATTGGTTTGTGGTACCGCAGCCGCAACAGGGAAGGCAACTTCAGATCGTTGTGTTCGCAGTTTCTGCGGTTGGAACGCATCAATTTTGGCCTCGAGTTCAGATTTGAATGCGAAAGGAAATTCAGCCCCGGAAGATTTCGCACCCGTCATAGAAATCTCGGCTTTGCTCGTCTTTCGTGGTCTGGGTAAAGTCGCGCTTTTCAGAGTAATTTCCATTTTGCTGGACATTTTCGGTTCCTCTTGCTCTTCGTCGTTATTGAACGCCTCAGACGCAGTGGAAACCTAAAAGATAGTGATTAAATAAAGATGCACATATATATCAATTCGTTATTTTTTATTAAGATTTTTTAATCTTACTGTGGCTCCTCTGTTAGCATCCACTGTTTTTTCATCGAACGAAAAGTTGGTTTCAACATTTGGCATAGACACAGATTCTGTCGTTGAACGCAAATCATTCGTTCCAACCTTTGACGATACTTTTGATGAAATTTTCTTTGGTTCTTGACTTGATGGGGATATCGGCGGAGAACCGTTTATCCTCCTTTGCATAGGTGGTTTTCCAATAGCACCACTTATTATATCAACGGCTCGTTTCTTGGCCTCCTCCTTCTTCTTTTCTTCTCCCTCCATTTCCACTTCCTCATTCTCGTTTCGAGTTTGCTTCGACTTGTCGCTCGAATTTTCATTCCTTTTCGTATCCGTCGTAGACGGAACGTCGATAATCATTTTCGATGCAGTGTGCTTCATAGGTGGAGGTGTGGTTATCGAAGAAAGACTAGCTTTTCTCTCGAATACGCGCTTTGCTCCTCCAACATTCACACCCGGTATGAAGATTTTCTTAGGCTTTTCATTTTCCACGCTTGATGCCATTTGATTAAACTTCTCCGCAGTTTCGAATATTTTGGAGCGCCTTCTTTCGAACGTCTTCGCAGGAACTTCTCGCACTTCGTTGCAGAGTTCTGAGTCAAGAGAGAGTGCTTTTTCTTTAAGTTTTTTAAATTCTCGTTGAGTTGCCTCAAGGTTGATCGCATCGTCTTGACTAACGGACGATATTTTATCAAATCTCTCATTTCCAATTACTTTTTCGTTCGATACTTCGAACTTGGAAGGTGCGGATGTATTTGTCTGATTGAACGCGAGGTTCATCGTTTCAGAAGGTTTCGACATAATTTCGTCGCGATTTCCGTCGTCCATTGATTTCGCTCGACATTCATTCTTCGAGTACTCATCGTCACAGCTGCGATCGTTAATAATTCGATCTTCTGATAAAATTTGCCGTGATACATCTTGGAGTGGTTGCTCCTCTTCGAAAACTACCGGTGTTTTGCTTCGCTCTTTGCTCGGAGATCTTTCGCTACATTCTTTAATCAGTTCTAAACAAGCGGCTGTAGATTCTATTTTATTCAAGTCGACAGTCTTGCTGATAGGAACAGTTACCATAGGATCTACCTCCATAGCTTCCTCCGTGATCGAATTTGGAATTGGTGCCGAATGATGCCTGGAATGGAAAAGAATAAATTAAGATAAAAATAATGGAAACATATGCAAGCATTTTAATTACCTTGACGCAGACTTATACATTCTGGGTTCCGGTTCATCCCGTTTCTCTTTTCTTCGAGATCGTTCTTTTCTCTTTGCATCAGCGGCAGCTGTTTCATCCATAGACGGCGTTGTCTCTAATTTTCTCTTGGCATCACCACCGATTGGAGCAGTTCTCGGCTCCTCTTCCAGTAATTCTCTTCTTATCCTCCTATCGGAACTACTCTGATCTAATTCCATTAAGCTTCCAACAGAATGACATCTGGTAGGTACTAGAGTTTCGGAAGACACGTTATTTGGAACATCTCCGGCTGATTGTTGATCGCCTATGACCAATTTCTCTGCACTTGCGGACTGTGGTACCAGAGAGAGTAGCAAATCCAATCGAACAGGAGTCTGAGCCGCTAATTCTTCAGCAATATCCAGACAATTCTGTTCGTATCCTTCATTTACCCACCAATGGGTACAAATCCTTTCGATGTCTGCTCTCCTGCCAGGACAAACAGTCAGCATGTCTTTGATAAGAGGAGAAGCAGCTAAAAAAAAAACAGAATTGGTTACAATGCTATTTTAAAAATAGAATTAGTCACAAAAGTCTTTATACAATACATTTTTCTGAATATTCTGATTTCTTTGATAAAAGTTTATGTACATGTAGAGCATTATAGTTTTATATATAGAGCAATTTTTTTTCAATGAAAAATATTTTTCAGAGAATTAAATCATTCCAAGATTTTAGACATTTTTTCATAGAATTTTCATCTGAGAATATTTTTTTAAAACAAATAGAATCCTTTAAATATTTTATGTATCTTTTATAAAATTTTTATATTATTCAGCATTGACAAAAATTTTAAAAAAGATTGATCTACATGAATTATATTTTCTAAAAAAAAGAATTATGCCCTACGTCAATATTTCTTAATGTATTTGAATTAATGATACATTTTAATATTTTTTATATATTATTATGTATTTAAAAAAAATTTTTAAATTATTATTAAATATAAAAATATTTATAATAATAATTAATGTATTTCTCATGATGGATGAAATGACTCATTAACTGATAAACACTATTCTATGTATCTTATAAAATTTATTATTATTATTAAAATTTATTATAAATTTTAATTTGAACATAATTTGTTAATTGAATTTGCATTAAATATATGAAAATTTTTGTTATTGACTGTAATAACTCCAAGAAAAAAAAATGAAAGGAAAGAAATATGAGAGATACTTACGCGATGGTTTCTTAGGCTCAAAATAATCTGACTGTGAGATCTGTTTGACTAGTCGTTTGAAATTAGACCCGTCAAAGGGCATGGCACCGTAAACTAAAGTATAAAGAAGAACACCCAAGCTCCAGCAATCAACTTCAGGACCATGATAAGGAGTACCCTTAACGATTTCGGGACTGGCGTAGAGTGGACTACCGCAGAACGTGTTTAATAATCGTTGCTCATCAAACACGTTTGATAAGCCAAAATCCGCGATTTTTGCATTTCCAACCTGATCTAGCAAAATGTTTTCGAGTTTCAAATCTCTATGGCAAATTTTATGTTTATGACAGTAGAAAACGGCGGTGGCTATTTGTCGAAATATTCGTCTTGCTTCGTGTTCTGTCAATACTTTACGCTCACTTAAATAATCATAGAGCTCGCCACCGGCCGCGTATTCCATTACCAGCACCATCTTTTCTCTATTTTCGAAGACTAGAAAAATGTAATTAAAATCAGAATTTAAAAATAAATTATAGATTAGGATTAGGCATTATTTATAAAACTAAATTTTTATTCATATAAAATTTATATTTTACTTTTATTATTTCATTTCTGTTATTATATATTGATGTATTTAAAATATAAATTATTTTAGCATTTTTTACTTTATTTTATTACTTAGATATTTATTATTTGATCATAATATAAAAATAATAATATAAATATAAAAATATTTTTATAATAAAATAATTTTCTATTCAATAAGTTTTTTTTTTTATTCTTTACATATAATCCTTGCCTATTTTTTAATATAGCAATTTTAATATAGCAATCTAAGATGAAATCTGTGCTTCATGTAAGTATATATACAGCTTTATTGTTTTTTATTTTGTTTATTTCATCTTATTTTTTATTTTTATTTGAAATAATAAAACGTATGATAAATAAATTATTTAGAAACAATTTATTTCTCAAATAAAATTTTAAAATTAATCGAATATGTTCAAATATATTTATTTTTTATTGTTAGTGATCATTTTTTTTGTTTCAATAAAATAAAATAAATAAAAATAAAAAGTGCCCAATCCTGATATACGTAAAATGATACCTTCGTATATATGAATAATATTTGGATGTTGTACACTCGACATTATCTGAATCTCTCTTCGTATCCTGATTAAATCGGCTTCCGTTTCTATCTTGCATTTTTTTATAGTCTTTATTGCCACCTCTTGTCCCGTCTCTTTGTTGATCCCCAATTGAACTTTACCGTAAGTACCTTGACCAAGCTTTTTGATGATGTCAAACCTGAAGAAAATAAATGGAACACGGAATAATAACAGAAATGCCTTGAACCACGCGTTATTACTATTTAACGAATGATTTACGACTGGCGCGTGAACAAACGATCTCGTGTTATTTACGTTCCGGCAATCTTAAAAGATCTCCGACCGGTCCCAATGGCCGACGACAGCCAACCGATTCGATAGCCAATCGTCCACGGATGGACCCCACAAGATATTCGTAATGCTCTTCATACCTCTGCTTCAACTTCCGTTTGTGATTGTGAAGTCGCACCCCACCCGTACTCTCCATTCCTCCCATTATGTTGTGTATGCTTGCCTCTCCCACAACCATTTTTCCTTATGTTTATCTAAAAACAAAGCATATATTAGTATAGCCAAATAATAAACGAACATAAAATGCGAATATATTTAAGATTGAATGTCGAAAATTATTGTCAAGAATTATTATATTTGAAAAATATTGTCGATAGCAATTTCCGAGAATTTAAAAATCATCTTTGAAAGTGATAATTACTCTCATCTTTCATTTCAATATTCATTTGCAAAAAATATCTTTAAAATTCTAGAAAGTTTTATTGCGATCTTTGTTTCACAATATAATAGAATTCTATTTCTATAAATTTGTTAGAGAATAAACGGATTTTTATAATAGAAGTTTCATATTCATATGAGAAAACTTTACGAAATATTTTCTTTAAAATGCATAATATAATAAATATTTTATAATTGCAAAATTAATGTATGACGTAATTGCAAAACATTCATCCCCACCATAAGAGTGAACCTCTTTCTGACATGTCGCGAAGCTTGATGCACAAGCTACGTAATTTGATCTGAGATTAAATATATGTGAGAATATTGATACAATAATAAATTTTCTTATTTTAGTTTCTTTTTAACTAACATATTTATAAAGTTTCTCTGATCAAAATAATATTAAATAATGTTATTTGAAATATTTGCGTATAATTACATTAATAAATGATAATTTTTTTATTATCTATTTAAATAAGAAAATATAATTTAAATATCATTTTCGATTTTATTTTGATCAGAAAAACTTTAATATGTTGATAAAAATAATTTATTAAAAAAGATAATAAAATAAAAAAATATTACAATATCAATATTGTTTCACGTCATATGCTTTTCTTCGACCATCTCGGCCATTTGCTTTTATGCTCAACAAAAAACGTAAACAAACTTTAAAACCTTGGTCAAGCCATATCAGAAGTAAGAATCAATACTATTATTGGATAAGTACAAAACCAAGAATTTTTTGTAACTAATATTTATAATGATTTTGCAAGTATACATATAATGAATTAATTTTTTATTTATTTTAATATATTAAAAATATAAAATATATTTTCTATTATAATTGAATTTCTT